ACTTCCTTCTTTCTCCTCAGTCATTCCTTGGGACCAATCTTCCAAACATGGTTAGACCCTATTTCATGTCATATGCCCCTCTTTGGGCATAGAGTAGAAAGAACACTGGATTTTTATAGACAGAAGCCCAAAGTCCAAACCCTCTCTGTCCCATTTATTAACTCTGTGACTTTGGATGTCACTTAACTTCTCTTCAAATGAGGAGGTTAGACTAGGTCATCTCTAAAGTCCCTTCTACCTTTTAAATCCTATACTTTGTTAGTCAAAAACAATATCATAAGTCCATGAGACATGCATTGCAACTGGATTTATTATAAGAGAAAGGCGCATGCATGTGGGAACTCCCTATACTAAGGAGCCCAGAAATGGAGGAAAGGGGAAGTCATAGGGGAGGGGAAAAGAACTAATCCCCTCCCAAAGGGGAAGAGAAATCATGAATAAGTAAAATGGCAAAAGCGGTATTCTTTTCCAAGATATCATGGTCTGCTTATCTGCAAGGGTCCCAGCTGCAGAAACATTTTCTCAGTTTGGTGCAGACTGGCTGGCACCCGTCTTGACTCCCAAGGACATACAGGGAGTACAGGTTGAGGGAAAAAACAAATTGTGTCAACTCAGGGGGGCTTCATCCTTGACACATTCAGGGCCTCCCAAGTACTCCAGGTCCAGTGTTTCTGGAAAATATGGCAACTCAAAAAGACAAGTTCAGGGGACCTTTTAACAACTTTTATGAATGGGAAGGGAGTAAACATTTATATTACACCCACTGTGCATATGGGTGTTCAAGAAGGACCAGCACCTCTGGTATGAGGGCTTGCCAAGCATTTTTCAGGGTCGCTCATTCACCCTTGGCATCCACTTAGCATTCAACTCTTACCTATGGCTCCAAGAAGCTGTAACCTTCCAAGAGGATACACAGCAGCTATGTCCCAGTAAACCATGTTGGCAGATGGGCTAAACCAGGGTAACCAAGGGGGCCATAAACCCATCAGTGAGTTAGGGGGGGTCTACCTCAAGCATGTGAAGACTTCCCCCAGTGGAATGGGCAGATGAGAACAATTTGTTCTAACAGCCACAAAGGTAGCTAAAGCAGGCCCTGTGGAGTACTTAGAGTTTGGTCAGACATCAAAGACACCAAGGTCATCCACTGCTTCCTGGGCCATCACCAGTCATCCTGACTTTTGTCTTGCCACTGGACTTCGATGACTCTGGAAGAGGGAGTGAAGGTGATGACTTTGTGCAACTCTGCCTCACTTAAATCCAATTTATAAAGGAGTGAAGATGTCACCTTGTGATGTCATCGGTCTGCTTCAAAAACAAAGAACAAACAACAACCATGTGCCAGGTTCTGTATTAAGCATTTTACAAATATTATCTCATTTGATGCTGTTATTATTCCCATTTTACAGTTGAGGAAACTGAGGCAAACAGTGATTAGTTAACTTGCTCAGGAACACACAACTTGTTCAGTCATTTTTTAGTCATGTCCAACTCTTCCTGACCCCATTTGGGGTTTTCTTGGCAAAGATACTAGAGTGCTTTGCCATTTCCTTCACTAGTTCATTTTATAGATGGGGAAACCGAGGCAAAAAGGGTTAAATGACTTGCTCAGGCTCACACAGCTAGTAAGTGTCCAAGATTGGATTTTTAAAAATTTTTTTTTAATTAAAAAAAATTTTAGGCAATTGGGGTTAAGTGACTTGCCCAGGGTCACACAGCTAGTAAGTGTCAAGTGTTTGGTCTGCGGCTGGATTTGAACTCAGGTCCTCCTGACTTCAGGACCGGTGCTCTATCCACTGTGCCACCTAGCTGCCCCCCAGATTGGATTTGACCTCAGGACTTTCTGACTCCAAATCTAGCTAGGTTCCACTGTGCCATGCCTGCTCCCTTACTGAACCAATTATCTTGATTTCTTCTAACTAGTCCTTTGCTCTCTTTACCTCTTCTCTCCCTAAAAGGCTCAATGTTCATTACATTAAATTGTAATTTAATGGCACTTTGAAAAAGTCCCCCAAGGCCTGATGGAAATTAATCCTGGCCTGACTGGTCAATTAACCAACAAACATTTATTAAGGTTTAATAACATGCCAGGCACTGTGCTAAGCTATGGGGACACAAAGAAAGACAAAAACTTAGTCCCTGTCCTCAAGAAGCTAACATTTTAATGAGGGAGACAACAAGTAAATAAATACATACAGATGGATATTTTTATTTATTCTGAACTTAACAAACACCAAATAAAATGTACATTTCCTTTTTACAAAGTAAAACAGAAAGAAAATTATACACGCAGACATGAACCTCCCTTAATGATTCCTTTTTAAGTGAATATATTTTCAATACGTAACTTTCAAAAATGCCCTTCTTATCTGTTTCCTCCCCTTCTCTTCTGTGCAATCTAAAAAACAAAATTCTCTTCTTTTTTGGCAACTTTTCACTCACCCTTCTGCCCACCGTCATTAAAAAGAAAAAGAAAACCCTTGTTACACATATGCATAGTAAAACAAAACAATCCCCACTTTGGCTGTGTCTGGAAAATGTGTATTTCATTCTGTCCCCTGAATGCATCTTCCCTCTGTCAAGAGATAGGGAGCATGTGACATCAGTTGTGTTTGGTCATTGCTCTGTTCAGAGTTTTCAAGTCTTTCAAGATGACTTTTCTTTACAATATAGTTATTATTGTATATATCCAAGATGCAGATAGATTAGATGGAAGGTAGCCTTAGAGGGACATATGGTCTGCTCAGGTCACATAACTGATGAATGTGATTTCACCATGGGTCTCAAAGCAGTGTAAAAGGGGTGCACAAAAAGAGATAGTCAATATTCCTTGACTTATCCAGACAATGGTGGGGAGTGATTAGAGGAGGAGGGTAGTACACGTAAGGGTCCATGGTGGTGGTCCTATCCCCTTGTAAGGCAGGGAGGGGATTGATGGATTGATTATATAGGCCACAAATTTCCCCTGGTATCTTTTTACAAGAGGAAGGAAAGGGAAGGAAAGGAAAGGAGAGGAGAGGAGAAAAGGAAGGAAGGAAGGAGGGAAGAAAGGAAGAAAGAAGGGAAGGAAGGAGAAAAAAAGGAAGGAAGGAAGGAAGGAGCATTTATTAGTTTAATATGTGCCAGGCACTGTGCTAAGTACTAGGGATTCAAATACAGAAAAATAAAAGATAGTACCTACCCTCAAGGAGCTTACATTCTAATAGCAGACAACAGTACACAAAAAGGAGCCTAAAAGAGGGAATGGGTGGGGGAATGAAAGCACCTAGCTCAGGTACATGGTTTGGAAGACTGGAAGCCAGGAACATGGCAGGGTGGGAAATGAAGGCCATCCTGGTCCCCTTCATAAAATGGAGGCCCTAGGAGAAACTCACCAATAGGAGAGGAGGGTAGATGTTATTCCAGGTTAAGAAGGCCATAGAGATGACTCTATATTCCAGGGCAAGAAGACTCCAGGTATGGAGGGAAGTCCCAGGGCCAGAAAAGAAATGAAGGACAGCCTGGGTTCCTCTACAAAATGGAAGCTGGAATACTTTGAACACACTCAGACTGACTCTAGCCCACTAAGAATGGTAGAACCACAGTGTTAGCTATGTCTCCAGAAGGGAGGAGTTTGGGTCTTTTGAAGCCATGCACACGCTCTCTGATAGTTTCCTTTGTGAACATATTTGTAACAAGGCCAGTAGGGTTAAGACTGAGATTTGACCATGGCCTCTCTCTGTGGTAAGGAGGGAATCAGGCTGTAGTCTACCATGCAGGCCCAGGCAGCCCTCAGCTTTCAGGTCCCATACCCTTGTATTGCTGGTGGCCTTAACCCACACTTTTAGTTCCTGTGACCAAGACTTCACTGGGATAATTGAGACTGCAGGCTGCAGCCATTGTGGCCTGAATCACTGTAGCAACCATTGTTGCTGTGAACAAACAAGGTGATAGCAACTTGAGATGGGAGTCTCAAGGGACAGTGGCGTAAGAGGAGATACCTTGAGAGTGGTTTTCCCCACATTTGGGAGTTGCTTCATGGGACACTTTAAATTCAAAGTTCCAGAGTCTCAGAGTTTGGGCACCACCAGCCTCTTAGAGGAAGATTCTGCAATCACATCTTAGCTTCTTTAAGAAAGGAAAGGATCACATTGATGGCCCCTGGAGCCAGGCCTTCCAGAGGGCCAGGAGATGTAGAGCTTGCCAATCTTCCCCCAAATGGCTGTGAGCTGCTGGGACAGTGCAGGTCCATGGTAAAGGGAAATGTTTATTGAGCCACCCCAAAAATGGATTAATATCCCAAGGAGTCTGTGGGCTGTGTGGGTACTTAATATGTTTTTTCTATCTGTCCACAGGGTTCTTGTGAACCCTTTGCTCACAACTCTGCCCTTTACATTTTTTGCATTTTCTGTGTGTCTATCCCATACCTAACATGCATTTAGTGCACTGAGTACTCATGCAAGAGTCAGGGATCTGGCGATCCACATTTAAAGAAACCTTTGTGTTTAGGTGTGAATATATATACATATGGCAAGAGAATTAAAAGTGGGCAGGAAGAGCCAGACAGAAAATGATCTTCTTCAGTTAGGCCCCAGGACCTGAGCAGGTACTTGTGTAGGAGGATGAGGTAGGGAACCTGAGCCACAGGTCAGAGCTTATTCTGGGGCCAGGGATCCATTCATTCCCTAGAGAGCGTAATTCATGCTTTGGGCTAACAACAAGGCTGTTACCCCTGAAAAGAAGGGATACATTCCAAGCTTCTCTCCTGCAATCCTCAGAATGCCTCTGTTTCAACTTAGAACATTTGCAGAGAGGGCTGCTCTGTCCTGAATCAAACAGCTTGCCCAGGGCCAGTGGGAAGGGTGACAAGCAGACCAGACAGGGTTTTCCAGGTTGGGAGGAGTGGTGTTTATGAGTGCAGTCACGGCCCAATCCTCTGGACACTTTACATTCTGGTCTGAAATACCAGGGCCAGCTCTGGGACCTTGGTCCTGCATGACCGTTTTCTCCCTCTTTCTACCCAGGTGGTAACGTGACCAGGACATGCACCATCAAAGGATGGACAGACTTGGTCCCAGCTCCCTACCCTATTGCCTGTGGCTCTGATGACAACTCAACAACACCCCGTGATAAGGTAGGTTATGCTGAGCCCTCCTATCAAAATATTCTCCCCATCCTCTTGAAGACTTTGGAATTCTATCTACTTCCTCATCTTATCCCTTAGCCCTAGGGAATGAGGAAACATAATTATTGAGACCCTAAGGGCCAGAAGAGCTGGATTCTAAGTCCCAGCCAACTCTGCCCTATGAGCTCTGGGTGGTTTTAGCTAATTCACTCAACTCCTCTGAGCCTCAGTTTCCTGTCTATAAAACTAGAATAATAATACCCATACTGCTAACCTCATGAGGTTACTGAGAGAATCAAATAAGATAATGTATGCAAAGGTTTTTCTAAACCTTAAAATGCTTTGAAACTATTAGCTATTTGCTCTATTTCAAAGCTAGAGGGAATTGAGACCCAAAGAAAGTAAATGCCTAAACTATGATCACACAATGCATGTCAAAAGTCACATTCAAATACAAGTCCTTCCTGACTCCAAATCCCAAAGAAAGTATTGAATGCTGGTCTTCAGACTATAAATCCATACCATGCTGGTGCCCAGGAATTAGCTCTACTAATGATTTGTAAGGCTAAAAATGATTTGTTAGGCTAAAAAGTTCTATGGAAAACTGACTTCTAATTTTCATTATCTATACCCTAAGCTTTCTGCCCATTGAATAACAGAAGAACTCGCTGCCTGCCTGCCTGCCTGCCTTGCACTTTTGGTTCAGGGAAGAGAATGTCAGCTACTTACCCCTTTCTGGTGTGAAGGAAAAGAAAGTCAAAGGAAAAAGGAAGAATAGTAAGCAGCTTCCTCTTTCCTGACCAACCGCCCCTTCCCAAAAAGCTCATTAGGCCATGGAATTGGGTTGAGTGTGGTAAGGGAGATAACCACAAAAATGCAAAGCTGTCCCTCCTGCCTAGGGAGTGGGGGGTCAGTGTGGTGATGGGAGAGTGTAATTCATGCTTTGGGCTAACAACAAGGCTGTTACCCCTGAAAAGAAGGGACATATTCCAAGCTTCTCTCCTGCAATCCTCAGAATGCCTCTGTTTCAACTTAGAACATTTGCAGAGAGGGCTGCTCTGTCCTGAATCAAACAGCTTGCCCAGGGCCAGTGGGAAGGGTGACAAGCAGACCATACAGGGTTTTCCAGGTTGGGAGGAGGGGTGTTTATGAGTGCCATACCATGCTGGTTCCCAGGAATTAGCTCTATTCAGACAAAGAGCGAGTAAGGATCCTAGCTAGAGGGACAGCCCCAGCCAACCGCCATCTTTTGTCACTGGAAGGTAGAAAAAGAAATGGACTACTTTGTTGCCCTAGAGCAGGCAGGCCTGCATAACCTGTGACCTGCCATTGGATTTCGGGCGGCCCGTGAAAAATGTAGAGAATGATATCGTCTACATTTTTACAGGCCTCCCGAAATCCTTTGGGCAAGCCACAGGTTGTTCAGGACTGCCCTAAAGGGAAGACCTATGACTAATAGGGTGTTACATAGCATTAGATTTCAACTCTACATAAGACTGTCTAACACTTTGGCCCCATCATGGAAAAGGTTGCCTTGTGAAGCAGCTTTCTAGCACTGGAAATGCTGAAGCAAAGCGGCTGGCAGGATGACCACTGGAGGGTTTATGTTTCAGGTACAGGTTGGACCCCATGCCCTCCAAGGTCACTTCCAGTTTTGAGATGCTTTGATTCTGTTATTCATCCATCTTTAAGGTATATTCTGGGTCTGTTTAGTTACACAATAAAATCCAGAACCTCAGCATTGTAGAATTGAAAGGGACCCCAGAGGCTGGCTAACATGAGTCTCCCCCTTTACAAGCTTCCCAACAAGGGAATCCAGCCTTGGTTTGAAGACCTTTGATGTGCGGGAACCTCCTGAGCCCTGGGGCTACCTCTTCCATTTGGAACTCCAGCTCCAATTTTTAGAAAGTTTTTCCTGACTTCAAGGCTAAATTTGCCACTTGGCAGTTTCAACCCCCATACTTCCTGGTTCTGCTCTCAGGGGCTAAGCAACACTGTCCAGGAAAAGGGGGTGGAGACCTCCTTGAACCCCTTCCCTCCCAGGCAACTGTGACTTAGGTTACCAGTGACCTGCAGTTCAGCTTATGATGACCAGTGTCTGACACTGAATCTTGTGTTACAATTGCTAGAGCTCATTAGTAGTCTCAATCAAAAGCATTTTGTGCATGAAAGCCTCTGCATTCTATGAAAGCAGAAGTAGGAGGAGTCACATAGATCAGGGTTTCTTAAACTTTTTCCATTCGGGACCGCTTTTCCCTTTTTGGCAGTGTTCGTTGGTGTTGCGTGGCATGATGACATGCACAATGTGAAGTGTGCAACACTGCAGTAAAGTTGCAGGATGCACCACAGGCAAGCACTGCCAGAAACACCTCGGATTCATTACCTTGTCGATTCTGAATTAATTTTTGGTTGTTGTATGTTCAGAAACCTTTTACTGTTGCCAAATTTCTTGTGACCCCATAAGGGGTTGTGACTCACAGTTTAAGAAGCTCTGGAGATGACCTCTAAGGTTTTTTCTGGGTCGAAAGGTATGAAGTCAAGGGGCCAAAACAAGCTAAGTTCGTGAGCCACCCAGATGCTTTGCTGAGCAGCAATTGAAGAGGGGAGGAGGGTGGCTATAAGCCAGAGGTGAAGAAGCCTATAACATGCGGAATAAAGCTTGATTTCAAATCATTTTTGGTCACATATAAGCTAGTGTCTGAAGGGGTCTGCTCTCCCATCACCACACTGACCCCCCACTCCCTAGGCAGGAGGGACAGCTTTGCATTTTTGTGGTTATCTCCCTTACCACACTCAACCCAATTCCATGGCCTAATGAGCTTTTTGGGAAGGGGCGGTTGGTCAGGAAAGAGGAAGCTGCTTACTATTCTTCCTTTTTCCTTTGACTTTCTTTTCCTTCACACCAGAAAGGGGTAAGTAGCTGACATTCTCTTCCCTGAACCAAAAGTGCAAGGCAGGCAGGCAGGCAGGCAGCGAGTTCTTCTGTTATTCAATGGGCAGAAAGCTTAGGGTATAGATAATGAAAATTAGAAGTCAGTTTTCCATAGAACTTTTTAGCCTTACAAATCGTTTTCCTTAGAACAGCCTTTTGAAGTAGATTAGGACCGATAGCATCTGTGGTCCACAAATACAATATATATTTATCAAATATCTGCCAAATAAAGAGCTTTAGGGAAGGTGTGATCTTTCCAGAAGACAAGCATCCCCACCTTCAAGAAATGCAATTTACACAACCATCTGTCAATTCAAAGGATGGAGCCTTCTGTTGGGGAGTGGCTCCAGCAGACTTATACTCAGTACATGTTGGGCATTTCACTCTGGATGATAAGGGCAACCAGGAAAGTAGCTTCCTGTATTCAACCAATAGTCAATGACACATTCTGACAGGGTGGATATGCAACTGTGATGACATGTATTGTCTGAAATAGACAATAATCCCCCCCAAATTACAGATGCATAGAACTTCAAAGTTGGAAATCAAACTTTAGAAATAATCTGGTCCAACCTCCTCATTTTACAGATGGGGAAACAGAGGTCTGAGTAGGGAAAGAGACTCACCCAAGATCACACAACAAATGAGTAGCAGGGCCCAGGTCTTTCATGCTGATTATTGGCAGGGTGAGGCAGCTTTAGATGTGTGGTGGGGTAGCTTGGGAGGAGTAAAGCTGGGCCTAACTCTCCCCAACTCCCAAAGGCTACCTTTTTGTTAATGCATTTTTCTTTCCTCCCGCCTCCCCTTTTCACATGAAGCAATCTTTCTATGGCTCTGTGAAGACTGGATACACTATAGGCCACAGCCTTTCCCTCATTGCACTCACCATAGCCATGGTCATCCTATGTGTGTTCAGGTGAGGCTGGGGTTGGGGGTGGGGGGGTGGGGAGAAGGGAGGAAGAGGGGTATGGGAGTAGAGGGAGCAAGATCTCTAAGACCAGCTCCAATGCTTCCTCCTAACAGGAGCTGAAGCCCTCACACCTTTTCCACTTAGCTCCAGGGATGGTGGGTGATGAATCAAGCCACTTCTGCCCTCTTCCCTCTTTGCAGCCTGACTCTTGAGTCCCAGGCTTTGCAAATAGTGGACTTTGCAAACAAGGAGTACAATCATTGTATCTGCGGGCAAAGGTAGAAGGATGCAAAAAACTTGGAAGACACAGGAATAGAGAGCTTGGTGCTACAACCAGAGAGTGAGAGGGTCTAGAGCAAGATAAACCTTAGAGATCGTATCTCATTGAGACCCTTCACTCTCTGGGCACCCAAATGGCACAGTGCATAAAGCACCAGACCTGGAGTCAGATAATGACTGACCATGTGACCCTGAGCAAGTCACTTAACCTCTCTTAGCCTCGATTTCCCTATCTGTACAATGGGGATAATAATAGCATCTACCTCACAGATTAGGGCTAAGAAGACAGAGGTTGTAAGAGTTAAACAAGATAATCTTGGTAAAGCGCTTTGCAGACTTTAAAATGCTATATAAATGCTAGCTATGATGATGATGATGATGATGGTGATGATGGTGATGATGATGATGAGTAAGGACACTGAGAGCCAAAATGGGAGAAAGACTCATCCAAGGTCACACAGCTAGTTAAGTGTCAGAGGCTGGATGTGAATTCAGGTCCTCTGACTCCACTAAATTGAATGCTCTGTCCACCACACCATGTTGGCTCTTACCCAGCTCCAGCCTTGTTGACAACCTTATAGGGGTGAAATCATTCTGCTTGTCTCCAGAAAGAACTAGGACCAACAGGGAAAGCTATGGGGCAGGGGGGCAGATTTGGGCTCTGTGTATGAGAAAACTTCATAACAAACAGAGCTGTCCAAAAATGGACTGGGCCATTGTGGTAAGATAGAGCTCCCTGTCTCTGGAGGTCTTCAAGCAGTGGCTGTTGTGACTATTTGGGTGAGGTGTTGATGGAGGGTATTCCTGCCCAGGATCAGAGCCAGGATTTAAGAGCAGTTTTTTAGGGTCCTTTATATCTCACTACCCCATGTTGTCAGGATTAAACCACAAATCATTTAGAAAACCAAACCTCCAGAATGCTTCTGTCCTGAAGGAGGTCAGTAGAGGGTCTTGGCTGATCCTGTGGTCTGGAAGTGGTGAGAAGCCAACCAGGATGGCCTGGGAGAGTGGGGAGGAAGGAGGGAAGGAAGGATCTGGGACAGGTAGGATGATTTTTGCCCTTTTGCTGTCCACAGGAAGCTGCACTGCACCCGCAACTACATCCACATGCACCTGTTCACATCCTTCATCCTTCGGGCAGTTGCTGTCTTCCTCAAAGACACTGTCCTCTTCCTAGTCCTCGAGGATGACGGATGCTCCCAAGGCTCAGTAAGGGGCAGCCAAAATCCCCAGGGGGAGTGAAACTGTTACACGAGGAATTTCCTAAGCCAAGATTGGGGGGCTCTGGGTACCTCTCATTTCCAACATCCTTTTTTCCTCTCTCCCCATCTCTTAGTCTCTGCTCTTCCCCATTTCTCTCTGCCTCCATATTTTTTTCTGTCTTCTTGGTCATCTCTGTCTCTATCTTTCTCTGTTGTCTCTCTGTCTCTGTTATCTCTGTGTATGTCTGTCTCTTTTAATCTGTCTCTTCATATTTCTGCCTCTCCTTAACTCTAGTCTTCTCCCTTCACATCTCTCTGCCTTTCCCACTCCATCTCTCACTTTCTGTCTCAACTCTATCTTATTCCCCTCTTCTCCCCTTCTGTCATTCCCTTTTTTCTCTGACTTCTTAGCTGTCCCCCTCTGTCCCCCTCTCCCTTTCCTTTTCTCTTCATCTGTTGCCCCATATCTTCCATCTCTCCATCTCTCTATTTCTCTTTATTCTTCCCTCTCTCTCCATCTCTCTATTTCTCTTTTTTCTTCCCTCTCTTTCTCCTTCCCTCCTTCTCTTTGTGTCTCTCTGTTCTACCTTTTTTTCTCTCTTTGTCTCTGTTCTCTGTGTGTCTCTCTATTCCCTGTCTCTGTCTCTCTTTCTCTGTCTGTCTCTCTCTCTGTTCTCTTCCTCTGTGTCTTTCTGTTCTGTCTGTTTCCATCTCTCTATCTCTGTTTCTCTCTGTGTTCTGTCTCCTCTTTGTTTCTCTCCCTTCTATCTCTCTGTCTGTTCTCTCTCTCTCCTCTCTATCTGTCTCTGTTCTGTCTCCTGTCTCTCTGCTCTCTATCTCTACCTCTCTCTGGTTTTTTCTCTTTTCTGTCTTGTCTTTGTCTCTCTCTCTCACTCTCTCTCTCTCTATTTCTCTCTTCTCTCTCTCTTTCTCTTTCTCTTCTCTTCCCTCTTTTTCTTCTTTTCTCTCTCTCTCTCTTTCTCCTCTCTCTATTCTTTCTCAGTCTCCTTCTCTCTCTTTGTCTCTTTCTGTCTCTGTCTCTCCCCATATTCAGTTTGATTCTACAAACATTTATTAAGCAACACTGTGTTCCAGGCACTAAGAATACAAAAATAAAAAATCAAACAGTGTCTGCCCTTGAGGAGCTTATAGTCTTCCAGGGAAGGGGGAACAACATGTACACAGACACACTTAGTAGTACACTTTGTAATTTGTACAAAGTTGTTTTGGTGGCCAGGATAAGGCAGGGAGTGGGTGGGGAGTAGTACTAACAACGGAGGGGACTGAGAAAGGCCTCATGTTAGAGGGGACACTTGAGTTGGGCCTTGGAGGGAGCCAAGGATTCCAAGATACTGAGGTGAGAAGCCATTCTAGGCATCAGGAAAAGCCAGGGTTTCACATAGGGAACAGCAACTGGGCCAGGCTAGATAGAAAATAATGAATGAGGAGGGTATAATACAAAAACAAATCAGAAAAGTTAGGTTGGAGTCAGATTGGGAAGAATTTGTAATTCCAAAGAGAGGAGTTTGTATCTCTCTTTCTCAATAGCTCTTTCTCTCACACATTCTTCATACCCCATACCATGCAACGCCCCCCCCACAGTATACAGGCACACCATCAATACATGGGCTATGCAAGCCTAATACCACACAGCTACCACCAAATATAGGCCACACTTCTAAAGTGAGATTTATTTAAAAGGAAAACAATATCTAAGTGTATGCCCTGAAAAATAATACTGATAATAGAAGCTAAATCAGTTGTAGGCTACACAGGGATGAGGGGAAATGTAAGCCATGGTGGGATCAATACAGGCATAGGTTCCCAAACTGGGTGATGCCACCCCCGGGGGTGCTGAAATGATCCAGGGGGCAATAGTAGCCTAGGGTGTAATTGGGGGCATTGAATAAAAATAAGGGGGCTGTGGAAGCATAAGGAAAGAAGAGAAGGAAATTTTGAAAAACCGTTCATACATGTTTCATCTGTTTGTAACAGAGTTAAAGTCATAGTGATTACATTATTTTCCAAATAAGCACACAAAATGCATGTTATACCCTATCGTGGTCAAGTCCACCAACAGGTCTTAACAAGCAAGTGTTGGCAGGCAAGCATGTCACACATTGTCAGAAAGTCCAGCATGCACCAGCAGGAATATATGTGTGAGATGACTTGTTTACAATACAATGCTATACCTTTCTCCTTCTCTCTCTCTCTCTCTCTCTCTCTCTCTCTCTCTCTCTCTCTCTCTCTCTCTCTCTCTGTCTCTCTCTCCCTCTCTCTCTCTCTCTCTCTCTCACCTCTTCCAGTCGGTGGAGTGCCTGTTAGCACAGGCTGTGGTGTAAAGATGGCTAAGTCTAAGAACCATACCACCCATAACTAATCACGAAAATGGCACGAAATTGCATCAAGGAACCTAGGTCACAGAGATACGAGTCTCTGAAAGGGGTTGACCCCAAGTTTCTGAGAAACATGCACTTTGCCAAGAAACACAAGAAGGGACTGAAGAAGATGCAGGCCAACAATGCCAAAGCCACCAAAGCATGAGCAGAGGCCATCAAGGCCCTGACCACCAAGGCCTCCAAGGCCAAGCTCCTCAGGCCCAAGATCCCCAAGGCCAGTGCCTGGAGTGCTGGCCATTAGATGGCCAGCAAGTGTTCAGGCCCTAGAGTTGGCATTAAATGGCCAGGCCCCAGGATCATGAAGCCTGACTCTAAGGTTGCCAGAACCACTGACCCCAACGCTGCCACCAAGCCCACTGACCCCAAAGCTGCCATGCCCACTGACCCCAAGGCTACCTAGCCCACTGACCCCAAGGCTACCAAGCCCACTGACCCCAAGGCTACCAAGCCCACTGACCCCAAGGCTGCCAAGCCCACTGACCCCAAGGCTGCCAAGCCCACTGACCCCAAGGCTGCCAAGCCCACTGACCCCAAGGCTGCCAAGTCTGCCACCAAGGTCAGTAAGTCTGATCCCAAGGCTACCAAATCTGGCCCCAAACCCAGCAAATCTGACGGCAAGGTCACCGAGTCTGATTCTAAGGCAGCCAAGTCTGATTCTAAGGCCACAAAGCCCAGTGATTCCAAGGCTGCTAAGCCTGCTGAGTCCAAATCCAAAGATGCTGGGGCTAAAGCTGCTAGTCCCAAGCCTTCAAAATAGATGCTCAGGACAGAAGGACTTGTTTAAACCCTAAACTACTGTTTTTTTTTTCCAGTCAGGGTATGATTATTCTATTCACTATTTTGTGCAAATAAAGAAAATGGTGAATCATAAAAAAAAAATACAATGCTATATGGTTATCTGACATAATATTTGCACAATCAAAATTTCAGTACAGGAAAAAACTACAAATTTACAATAAATTATTAAATATAAGCTGTGTCATTTAAAAAATACATATTTTATATTTTTTGAAATAATGCATATTTCAAAAGAAAAACCAAAACATTAAAGGGTTAAAGATTTCCAGGGGGGTGCTGAGTAATTTTTTTTAAAGGGGGCAACAGGCAAAATACATTTGAGAACCTCTACTATAGACACATCAGATACATACCTCACCCACTTTGTTTGGCCTCTCTCAATGTAAAACACATTTCCTCTCTCTATCTCGCCATCTCTGTCTCTCTGTGTCTGTCTCTCCCCCTCTCCTTCCTTCTCCCTATCTCTCCCTGTCCCTCTCTCCTTCCTTTTCCCTCCCTCTGCCTATCTCTCCTTCCCTCTCCCTATTTCCCCCACTCTTTCTATCTCTCTCTCTCTCCATATCTCCCCCTCCTCTCCTTATCTCTCCCTCCCTGTCTGTCTCCCTGTCTCTCTCTCTCCTTCCTTTTCCCTCTCTCCCCTTCTCTGTCTCTTTTTCTCTCTCCTTCCATTCCCCACTTCTTTCCCTGCCTTGCCCCCTGCCTCATGCCACTCATCCCCTAGTTCTTTAATGACCTTGTCCCATGTCTTTCAGGTAGGCTGCAAAGCCACCATGGTATTCTTCCAATACTGCATTATGGCCAACTTCTTCTGGCTGCTGGTAGAAGGCCTCTACCTTCACACCCTGCTGGCCATCTCCTTCTTCTCTGAACGGAAATACTTCTGGTGGTACATCCTCATTGGCTGGGGTATGTAAGAACTTGGGTGGAATGGGATGGAGCGCTATAAGATGGGGTCCTCCCCCACAAAGTCCAGGGCACTGGGGGGTAGATATAAGGGCCTGGGTTTGAGGTGCAGGGAAGGAAAACAATCTCCCATGGCTCCAGAGACTGGGAATGCTGAGGGATGATATCACCAGGTAAGAATTGGCCTACAAGGGATCCTATTCCCCTGTCATCTACACTAAAGGTATCAAAGACCTCTGTCTTTGAGATCACTGATATCAAGTTCAAATTTTCCCTGGACTTGAGAAATTGTATTTCTCTTCAAGAGATAATCCCTGTAATGAATTAAATGAAATAGTATTTGTAAAATGCTTAGCACAGTGCCTAGCACATAGTAGGATCTTAATTGTTTATTCCCTTCCCTTTTTCCTCCCTCAAATCTGTCTTATATTCAAAAAAAGTGGCCATGTTCATGTCACTGTTTGCAGAATCTGTCATTGTTGGCTGAGACTGTTGACGTTGGGGGTGGGGTGGAGGGAATCATGTCACACTTTGCACAACCTCTAACCTTCTGGTTAGCTTAATACCTAATTTGCTGCTAATCCTAATTGGATCCTGCCTGTTCCAGGGGTGTGTGGTCATAAAATGGGAAGGGAGTGCCTTTAGTCAACCTTATCTGTCACCCCATTGAACAAACTCTTGGACACAGCTCACTCTAGGTGCATCACCTGAGCTTGAGTCTACTGGCTGCTGCCTCATTTCTGTACATGGAAAATCCTTTGGGTGACCTAGAGAGCCCCTCCCCTAAGATGTCTACAAGGATGGGAGCCTCATGCCTCCTTCCACTTCCACTTTGCTCTGACACTCGCTCTCTTGCTCTATCACCATTTCTCCTCCCTCTCCCACTGTCTTTGTCTTTCTATTGTCTGTCTGTCTCTGTCTCACCTCTTCTCTGCCTCTCTATACTTTATATGTCTCTTCTCTCTCTCTCTCTCTCTCTCTCTCTCTCTCTCTCTCTCTCTCTCTCTCTCTCTCTCTCTCTCTCTCTCTCCCTCCCTCCCTCCCTCTCTCCCCTTAGTTCTGTCTATACCTCCTCCACTCTTTTCTCCATTTCCCCCAGGGCTTGGTCTCAGATACCTGTTCTGGATTGAGGTCAAGGCCCCTAAACAGACTAAGGAGAAGACTGAAGCGCTGATAGAAGAATATCCAGGAGGGATAGTCAGTCATCAGAATATTCACCTGCAAAGCACTGATGACTGTCAGTGTCTGTCTGGTCCAAGTTGGGCCCTAGGGACACCCTCCTACTCCTCCCTAAATTAGGCTACTTCCTAGTGGGGTAGGTGACAAAGGGCTGGTCTGGGATTCAGGGAATAAATTAACTCCCAGTGTTTGTCTCTGACTCTCATTTCTCTCTTTGCTCTCTCCTTCTCTCATCTCTCTTCTTTCCTCTCTCTGTGTCTCTTTCTCTGTGTCTTTCTTTCCTCCTCTTCCTCCTTTTTCTCTGTCTCTATCTCTCTCTGTCTCTCTCTCTGTCTCTCTGTGTCCCTCTCTCTTTCTATCTGTCTCTCTCTCCTCCCAACTTCCCTCCCTCCCTTCCTTTACCCTCTCTCTCATCCACAGGGGTCCCTGGCTTGTTCATCACTGCATGGGCACTCACCAGACTCCATTTTTACAACATTGGGTGAGCACACATCTTACTCATCTGTGGATTTCCTTCTTCCCTTCCCTAAAAGGAGCTCTTTTCTGCCCAACTCAGAAAATGGATTTCCTTCACTTTCCTTGGCCTGGGTCTTTTGCTTAGTATGGGATATCCCTTGATCAACAGAATCACCTGGCCCACCCCTACCTGGGTCTCCAGAACCTCTAGTTCCCTGTTTAACAGGACCTGAGACCCTGAACTAGTCTGGAAAGAATTCTATCATACTGGAGGCATTGTGGTGTAGTGGGAGAAGTCCCAGAACTAGGGAGCCCAAGGCTGCCACTGATTCACTCTGTGACCTTGGGCTCCTTCCTTCCCCTCTCTGGGTCTCAGTCTCCTCTCCTTTAATAAGGTTGGACTTTTAAATTCCCTGACAGCTCTAAAGGGCTAACAATTCTATCTATTAAGTCCCTCCTGTATAGCTCTATCTATAAGAGATAACATGGGTTAGTGGAAAGAACACTTTGCTTGGAGTCAGAAGTCTTGGGTTCAAATCCCATATCTGATAACATTTACCACTTGACCTTAGGAAAGTTGATTCTTCATTCTGAGCCTCAGTTTCCCCATTTGTAAAATGAGGATGCTAATCCTACTTCTCTGCCTAAGTCATATAATTGTTGTGAGTAAAGAACTGTAAACATAAAAGCATTGTAGAAGTCAGAGCTAGGGATATTTATATGTTATGCCTATATGGTCGCTAGGCATTTCTTCTGAGGTTCTAAGAAGCCAGTCGCTAATACTTCATTGTAAATGAGTATGTCAGAGATTTTGAGAGCAGGGCCCTGGGTAAAGAAGAATTTTGAGGAGGGGTAGGTAACAATTTTCCTCCCCTAGACCAATGAGATAGGTGATGCACATTTTAACCCTGTTTTTCAGATGGAGAAGCTGAGGCCCCCAAACCAAAAATAATTTGCCCATGATCACATAATCACATAGGAAGTGTTAGAGTCAGGATTTCAACCTAAGACTCCTAACTCCAAATTCTAAGCTTTCCCTTTTATACCCCATTGGCTCCCACCACTGGGGGAGAGGAGAAGATGAGCCCTGGAGCTAGGAAAAGCCACTTTTCTGAAGGGAGGGTCATGGGATGTTTTAATTTCCCTCAAGTCTCCAGCCTTTTCTGAGTCCCTTTCCTGATTTGCAGGTGCTGGCAGAACATTCAGTCTCCATCCTGGTGGATCATTAAGGCACCCATTTTGGCTTCTATATTGGTAAGGTTCCGGCCCTTCCTAGAAGCTGAGAGCCCCCCTGATCCCTAAGGGGACAGAACTAGGCAGGTTCTCTGCACCTGGGGTTCCTGGGGATTAATAGCTAAAAATAATGTCACTTACAACAACATACCACATTTCCATAGCTCTTGGAAGTTTGCCGAATGATTTTCTCACAACTACCTTGTGAGATAGGCAGTGCATGGGGAAGTGTCATCATTTCACAGATGAGAACAGTACTTTACCCTGGATCACACAGGTAGTAAGTGACAGAACCTGTACTTTGCATGAACCTGGGTGTTCAGATTCCCAAGTCCAGGGTTCTTTTCTACTCTAGCAGTCTATATCTACATAATATCAGTCCTCGGTAGATCAAGGCTTTATCATTCCCCGACTGAGGAATGGCAAAGAAGGGCTCTCTCTTAGCCCAGGGCCTCCCTTTGGACTCAGGTTAAATGGAAGAGCACCCAGGCATATGGGGGCCCCCAAGCAAAAAGGGGTACCTAAACACATCATTCCCCTTCATCCCCTTGGCCAACCCTGGCCCTACAGGTGAACTTCATTTTCTTCATCCTCATCATCCGAATTCTGGTTCAGAAGCTACACCCCCCAGACATGGGGAGAAATGAGAGCAGCCAATATAGGTGAGTATGGTGATACCTCTCCCCTCCCCACCCACATCTGGAGCTGTCCACAGTACTGATTACCAAGCTCCTCAACTTCCTCTTCCACAGAGGGAGGAATGTATAGTCTCATTCCCAGGGCATTTCCCCAGAAGGGAATGGATGAACATCTGAGCAGAAAGAGTTTATTAGTCATTTCTATGAGGACAAGGGTTTGAACCAAGTAGTCTCTTGAAGTCTTCTTTGTAGGAATCTGGGATGCTGAATTCTATTTTGATTCTAGGGTTTTGTTCTATGATTCCAAGATTCTACTCTGGTATTCTGTTCTGTGATTTTAGAATTCTGGGATTCCTTCCTATGATTTTCAGATTTTGAGTCCGTGATTCAGTTTTGTGAGTCTAGGGTCCTATTCTTATTCTGGTATTTCCCAATTCTATGAAATATGTGCAGACATATTTTACTCCAAATATGTCTAATTAAAACCAGACCAACCTGGTTTGGGGCAAGAGAAATGGTCATCTCCTATTTGGAACTGTGACCCTGGTAAAACTGGATGGCATAATGATCATGTGCACCCAAGTTATACCTCCTGCCTACTCATAATTCCATTATTCCATGGAGCCTGTCAGCGACCTCTAGAAATAGCTAAACAATTAATACAGTCCCAAATAGTCCTACATATGTGGGATGGGAATGATGTTCTGCCAGAATGAAGAAATCTGGAGAGAGGAAGGGTAGACGGAAGAGGTCTAGAGATCCCTGAGCAAGGAACCACTGTATTTTTCCCTATATCAAGCATTTAGGATCACGAATGCTGCCCTCTGCCCACCATTGGTGGGGAAGGAATGTAGCTGCATTCATGAGGGAAACTTGGTCACCTAAGGCAGAGCAGAACAGTAAGAGAAGACCAAGGCTTGAGTCCTGACTCCTCCATTCCCATGACTGGCCTGGGTGCAAATTTGATTGAGTCTTTGGGCTTTCCTGGGGCTGTAGTAAAGGATAATAATAATAATAATAATGATAACTAACATTTATGTAGCATTTACTGTGTTCCCAGGCACTAAGATAAGCACTTTACAAATATTATTTCATTTGATTCTCACAACAACCCTGAGAGGTAGATGCCATTATTATCCCAATTTCACAGTTGAGGAAACTGAGGCAATCAGAAGAAAAGTGGCTTGCCTAGAGCTAGTAAGTGTCTGAGGCTGGATTTGAACTCAAGTTTTCCTGACTCCAGGCCCAGTGCTCTATCCACTGCATTACCCAGCTGTCTATAATAGATATCCCAAGATGGAAAGGTTAGTCAGGGTCAGCTGTGGATGATGGAGCCCTTATATGAGTGGATAGGCCCTTGTCACATTAGCACTGTCCTTGGTGAGGTGACCTGTGAGGGTAGGTCTAGAGAGTGATACTGAGAAACAAGGTGAGAGATGTGGGTTGGCAGGAGCAGGCAGAGTCTGGGATCACAGAATTTTGAACTGGAAGAGGCCATAGAGATCTTCTAGCCCAACCCATTCATTTAATAGAGCAAGAAAATAGCCCCAGAAAATAGAGATTTGCCTGAGGTCACATAGACAATAAGAGGCAGAGCAGTAATAGTGCATCAAGCTGGGAAATATCAGCAACTGAAATGTCTGCAGCTGAAAAGGATCTCTGAAAGTGTCTGGCCCAACCTCTTCCTGAGTAGGAATCTACTGTGACAGCCTCAATAAGTAATTATCCAGCCTCTGCATGGAAGATCTACAATGATGGGGAATCCACCACCTACTAAGGCATCCAGTTCAAATTTTGGACATTTTTAGTTGTTAGGAAGTTTCTCTTTACATGTAACCAAAATCTGTTTCTCTGAAACTTTATCCCTTCTTCCCCTTGCCCTCTCCCCTCCATTGCTTCTAGTTTTTTTCCCCTTTAGCAGCAAGGAGAATAAATCGAATCCTTCTTTCCAATAATAGCCCTTCTAATACTTGTAGAGCGCTCAGTCTTTTGACTAGGGCTCAGTCTACAAGAAAAGTAACTTGTCTTTGATAACCCAACTAACCTTTCTACCTGTACCTTTACCCTTAGCCATGGGGGAAGTAGTATGGCAAAGTTTATGGAATCAAAAGGTCTGGGTTCAAATTTCAATTCTGACACTTACTAGCTCTGTGAACTTGGACAAGTACTTTCCCTTCTGTGGGCCTCAGTTTCTTCTTCTTTAAAATGAGGGAGTTAGGGTGGATAATCCTCATAGAGCCCTTGAAATCCTAAAATCCTATGACTTTATTCTGAAGACAATAGGAAATCATGGAAAGTTCTTGAGCAGTGAAGATACCTAATCAGATACACATATGTACACCAGCAGACCCTTTCATTGTACCTCTGTCCCTAGGAGACTGGCCAAATCAACACTGCTGCTGATCCCGCTCTTTGGTGCGCACTACATCATGTTTGCCTTCTTCCCAGACAACTTTAAGAAAGAAGTGAAGGTGGTGTTTGAGCTTATTTTGGGCTCTTTCCAGGTACAAAGCTGGGTCCAAGGTTGGGGGCTCAGTCTGGGGCCAAGGTCAGGGATTTGTCCAGGGTTGAGGAGGGGGTGAGTGGGAAAGAACACCGCTGATAATTTCAATGGATGTGGGTTTAAGGCCAGAGTTTAATTCAGTGTTACTGTTATAGCCTGAATAATTAATTCAAGCTTATAATTTGGAAAAGGTTATAACTGATCCTCTGCTCCAGTCTTTGGCCAGAGCTACAGAACAAGGAAATAAGCACTGGGGAAGGGGGAGAGGGATGGGAAGGAGTAGAGGTGACTTTTCTACCTTCTTTCTACCTGGGAAAGGTGACTTTGACAGGGAAATTGACCCTAAAGCAAAGGAGGATGTCAGGTATAGCTGCACCTGAATAACCAGACCCTACATCCATGGGTCAGAGGGCTTGAATCTGGACTCACCAAGACACAGATAGAGGACTGAAGAGGATGGAGGGAAATGGAGAGATACAGGCTGAAAAAAGATGGAGGAAGTTTAGGGCTGGTGAAAAGCAAGAAGATTTAGGAATATGGGGTCAATAGAAGGAGATGAAGAGTTGAAGAGAAAAGCAAAATGGAAAGGCATAAAGGAAGAGAGGGGTGGAGGAAGATGGAGCAAAGGAAGGAAGCAAAGAATGGAGGGGAATAAAAGTTAATCGGTTATGAGGTCAAAGGAAGGAAGGAGATCAATTAGAAATGAAAGGGACTGGAAGGAAAAACTGCTTCAGGGGTGGAGAAATGAGAGCTGGAGGGAAGTAAGGAGATTGAGAGGGATGGGGAAGGTAGGAATAGAAAATGGGAGTGGTTAAAAGGAATGGGAGGTAGAACAAATGAAATAATATTTGTACAACACAACATAGTGCCTGGCATGTAATAAGAACTTAATAAATGCTTACTCCTTTCCCCTTCCCTTCCCTTTCATTGCTGATGATTAGGAGTCCAATGGACCGGGTAGCTTTTGGAAAAAGATATTTCATCTCAACTCCCACCTTCTTTCCCCTAGTCTCTAAATCCCAACCTTCCTCATCTTCTATACCCCTGATTCCCAGTTTCCCAGCCCCTTAACTGGTTAAAATGATTCCCCCATGCTCCTTAGACCATCTCAGGTCCCAGACTGGCCTGTGCATGCCCCCTTCCTCACCAACCTTTGAGCTAAGAGTGAGATCTGTTACCTCCCGGACCCAATCTAGTTCTCAAGTCTTGTCTCCTTTCCCACCAGGGCTTTGTGGTAGCTGTTCTGTACTGCTTCCTCAACGGGGAGGTAAGATGATGGGGTGATCATGTGGCATGGGAATAAGTATGGTCAGTCTTCACTGTAGCCTGCTGCAGGGTCCAGAAAGGCTAGCCTGGAGCAAAATCTGGGTAAAATTGAATAAGGGCATGTAAAGTGAAGCTGTGTAAAACAAGTATGTTATAAGGTGAATATATAAATTGAGTATATATAAAGTGGGTTTCCCCACTGAGTTCATGACTTTTTCTGAAACATATCATTGTTTTTAATGGGTCTTCAGTAAGTTGGAACTCCAAAACAATTCACCTTTCAGTGTTTCTGCCTCTCTTCTCCTCTCATTCATTTAATTCATTCAAACATCTCAGCCTCTTTGCTTAGTAATTAGTGGTCTATAAAAAAAAATTATTCAACAAACATTTATTAGGTACCTAGTATAGGCAGAGTCTCATATTAAACACATTAATCAGTAAGGAGGTCAAAGGAAGGAAGGAGATCAATTAGAAATCAAAGGGACTAGAAGGAAAAACTACTTCAGGGATGGAGAAATGAGAACTGGAGGGAAGTAAGGGATTGAGAGGGATGGGGAAGATAGGGTTGGGGAAAGAAGGAATAGTTCCCAGATATTCAAGTCCCTGACCTCAGGGAACTTACAGTTCAATAGAATAAATGAAACTAAGGGGTCCCCATGTGTAAAGTGGACTCTTTCTTGAAAGAGTAACCTCTTATGAGGAGAATTCATTTTTTTCCCTGAAGGCTGGGACCTTCCTCAGCTAAACTTCGTATCTCTCCAATACTGAGCAGAGTATACACAATAGATTCTTATTGAATGAAGGAATGAATAAAACCAAAGATGTGAATAATCTGCAAACCAAGTGACTAGTCCCAGATAATTGCGTAGGTTGATGTAAGGTCATGGAAACAAGATTGGTCAAAGGCTAGGAAAAGCCACGTATTTCTAAAGACAGCAGGCTTTGAATGACATCCTATGCCCCATGTTGCCTGTTAGTGGCTCCCTACTCCCCTTAGGCCAAAATTCTATTTGACTTAAAGTTCTACTCTGCTCTCTTACCCACAACTAGTCCTAGCCTCCGTAGAAATGGAGAAGGGGGCATCCAGGAATGCTCCACTGAGTCCACACTGGCTCTTGGTTACCCCATCAGTGTCTGAACATTTTCCCTCATGATGTCTGTGCCTAAAGAACTCTTTCTTTCTCTTCCCCCTGCCAACCTGTCCACCTCACTAGGTCCAGGCAGAGTTCAAACGTAAATGGCGGCGGTGGCGCCTGGAACGATTCTTGGGCCCGGACCTCAAGTACCACCACCCATCTGTGGCTAGCAATGGCTCCAACTTCAGCACACAGATCTCCATGCTGACACGGACCAGCCCTAAGGACCGACGCTCCTCCAGTATCCAGGCTGACTTTTCGCTAGTCTGACCAGGGCATCTCTCTCCCCAGGGTCCCCAACCCTCTCCTATATATCAGAGTATTGGTCACAGAAAGGGGCAGGCAAAGAGGCACTCAAGATGAAAAGACTGTAAGCTAGAGGAAAGCCTGCCTCAGACAGGATGCCTCTTAGATTCTTCTGCTCTGTTAGAATCCTTTGATTGGCTTCCAGAGGCATAGCTAGCCCACGGTCTGGAAGCTCAAACATTCTTGGAGTTCCCCAGGCTTAACTAGGTTCTATCCCATGAGCTGTCCCCTATCCTGGTCCTCAGACCCAGGAGCTGCCACAGCTCAAGTGACATGGGGCCAGGGGAGAGGGATAAGTGGGAAGGGCTCAGGTCTCCGGGAAGCTCACAAATTCCTCTCTAGCCTTGGCAAATCCATGTGGCCCCTGGAGGAAACTACTGGACAGGTAGAGAGAAATCCTCCATCTCTCTCTGCAGGGAACCATGTCCTTTTTTTTTTTTTTTTTTTTGCCAGTCACAGATGGTGAAAGCAAACTGCCCTTTGGCAAAAAGATCCTGGGCAAAGGCAGAAGTCTGCAAAATGGTATATGTGTCTATGCACATATATGTGGGAAGAAGATATCTAATATGTATGGCAGAGCAAGGAGAAGAAGAAGTCAGCCCATCTCCATTATATGACCGAGGAAGTGTGAAGAGGGCAGAAGGCTGAGACCTAAGATGCACCTCCCCACAGATTCAAGGAGGAGAGCCTGTACACTCTCTCCTGGGTTCCTTGGGCTTCCTGCTGCTCAGACAAGAGGGAAGGGTTGTAGAGGATGGGGAATGGGAAAGCATGTTTGGAGATGTCACATTCAGTGTGGGGTAGGGGAAAGAGTCCTGGATTCAAAGTTGGGAGACCAGGATTTGAAACCCAGCTCTGTTACTTACTAGCTGTGTAGCTCTAAGCCAGTCACATCCCTTTTCTGGGACTCAGTTTCTTCATCTGTAAATGGGTTAATAATACTTGTCACCTACCTCACAGAGCTATTGTTAAGAATCAAGTGAAATGATGTATGTGCAACCCTTTGTAGCCAAAAAGTAATATGGAAATATAAGCTATGGTTATTATTATCCGCACTTACTGTTAGCCTCTTTCTTGCAGGGCCCCTTGCAGGGACAGGATAGATAGAAGGGTTATAAGACCTTCCTGTGGGATTTGATAGGATATGAACTCTAGGAAAACACATCTGAGAAGAAATACCTTCCTCTACTGGCCTATCACAATGTCAAAAGTTCCATCATGAGAGCTTTGTAGCATGCAGCACCTTCTCTCAATTCCCACTCTGCCCATGACAGCTCAGCCATCTTGCCCTCAGCACCTGAAGGGGATGAGAATGATCATAGCCTTCCCTCTTGGATAGGAGAGCCTCTGGTAGCCTAGGACACTGAGCCCCTGAAGGGTGTAGGAAACTCATGGCCCATCAAAGACAAACTGAGACACCTATTCCCCTCCTCCATGGATATGTCAGATGCATCATGTCTACTCCCAGCCTCACCCCTTGGCCTCCCTGGGTCTAACATGGAAGGGCCCCTCCTCCAGAATTGGACCACAGACTCAATGGATTAGGAAACTAGACTTGAATTCTAGTTCAACACTGCCACTCACTCCTTGGGCAACCTTGGGCAGATCCCTTCCACTCACAGGACTCTGGTGGGGTCAGATGAAATAATGTATAGAAAGCATCTTGCAAACCACAAACATGTACACAAGTGCAAGAGAGGATTATCTGGTTATCCTTATCACTCCCCAAACCCTCTGCATGGCATGGACAGCCAAGAGCAGGTGTGTGGAGGAGTCAGTCAGTCAGCAAACATTTATTGAGCTCCTACTATGTGCTAGGCACTCTGCCAAGTTCTGAGGACACAAAGAAAGGCAAAAGACTATGCCCTCAGGGAGCTCACAATCTAACAGGGAAGGTAACATGTAAACAACTATGTACAAACAAGATATATGCAGGATAAATAGAAAGTAATCAACAGAGGAGTCAGTTCATGGTTCCAAACAGTCAAAAACAGCCCAGACATGGAAGGGTATACTGATCAGGAAAATGAATTTAGTCCTAACCACATATCACCATCATCTGCTGCTTGCTCTGGCATTCAGGACCTGGACCTCCAGCCCCTTCTCCAATCCCCTCAAGGACCAACCACCCCCTCTCCTGCCTGTGTCATGGCCAGTGGGGGGGGGCAAATCAGGGCTTGTGACTTCCTGGGGAGAAGAGAAGAAAAGCTAATATGGAGATCAAGGGCAAGGAGGGAGCTGACTGTCAGGACTTGATTTGGCCCAGATAAGTTTCAGGACCATGTCATCAACTGAACCAGACCAAGCAGAGTAAAGACAATCAAAACCACAAAGAATCTTTCATCCAGAAGTCATCCAAATAACTTGGGGGTGTGTTTGCTTATGTTACCAATGTGATTAGCCATTTTCTCAAGGCAATATTTGTAATGGCAAGAGCACTGGATTTTTAGAAAACCACAGTTCAAGGCTCAGATTGTCTACATACAATCTGTGACTGGAAAAGTTCCTTCCCATAGCTCGGCCTCGGTTTTCTCTATAAAATGAGGGGGGCTTGACTAACAATATCTAAGAAGCCTCCAGACTTCAAATCCCAGACCCTTTTCTAAACACACACCTTCCAGGATGAGAAAGGACAAATATCCTCTTGGATTAAGGCAAAATACTAGGCTCCAGAGCTGAGCTCTCTCAGAGTCTCCCAGTTGCTTGTGCTGAAGAAGTGTTAGCATTTCAAAAAGCTCCTCCCTTCCTTGGAGGAAAGGTATGAAATGTCACATCGAAGAGACAAGTAATTAAGCAAAATATTTTAGGTACTAACTTTAAATGGAGACAAAATTTGCTTTCAAGATTGACTACTTACAAGTAAAATGCTGACCTTGAGAATCTGAAACTAGGGACCAATCAATGAGCATTTATTAAGCATCTACTATGTGCTATTTTCCTATGCTATGTGCTGGAGATACAGACAATGAAGCAGTCCCTCCCCTCCAGGAGCTAGCTTGCATCTACTGGGAGAAACAAATGTGGACATATTTAGGAATGTTCAAAAGAGAAGGTGGGGGTAGGGAGAGGAATAACTATTATCTGAGGGAGGGGACAGGGAAAGTTTCACATAAAATACAGACTTGAGGTTGGATGTTTGGGAGATGGGCATGCAGAAAGAAAGAAGAAGAAGGTAGGATGTGAAGGACCTTAGCTGAAAGTACAAACTGAGCCCAGGCTCCAAACAGGAGTGACCAAGGATCAGTAGGAGTCCAGAATGTGAGTGATCAGACAGGATCAAGCAGTAAGTACTGGGGTGCCAGCCATCTGGAGACCAGGGATCAGGTACAGAAAATACAGGCCAAAAGCTCTGCTCTCATGGAGCTCCCAGTCCAAAAGAGGGTATGACACAAGCACAGATAGCTAAAACACAGTATAGAGAAGTGCAGACAAGGCTCTCCAATGCAGAAAGTCATTACCAACTGAGGGGATGAGGGAAGGCTTCCTGGAAAGATGGGTGGTGTTTGAATTGGGTTGTAAAGGGTAGGGGGAAAAAACTCAAAAAAGGTGAAGAACAGCAGGGAGGATATTCCAGGCATAGAGAAGAATGTGCAAAGTCTTGTAAATAGGAAAATGCAGAGTGTGCATCAGAGACCATTACACAAGTCTGGCTAGAGCATCCAGTGCTGGAGGGGAAGTGATAGGAGATAAAGCTGGAAAGGCAGGCTGGCCCTGGGCAGAAGAGTTTGAACTCTTCAGGAAACCACTGGAGATTTTTGAGAAAGGGAGTGACATGGGTAGATATATCTATAAGGAAGAGTAGTTTATGAGAAACCAAGTTAACTATCAATTCAGCACCATGGCTAGAGCAGGACTCATTTGGTGTAACATCAGAGACGAGATCTGGATTCAGTGGAGTTAGGGAACGAAGGGGAGTGGGAATGTATAGATTTCAGTTCACCATAAGAAATAACTTGATAATAGAGCTATCCAACCAAGGAAAGAGTTAACTCTGGGGATTATGTGTTTCTTAACACTGGAAGCATTTGAGCCCTAGCAGAATGATCACATGACAACATTGGCAGATGCTGTAGAGGGAATCCCAGAACACTCAAAGAACAATAAAGGAAGCTTGTGATCCAGAGGGACAGTGGTAGGTTCTGGCAGTGGGCAAAGGTAACCTGAGCCAGGTCCCTTCCAGTTATGACCTTCTATGGCCCTGAGGCATCACAGTGGCTAGAGCACTGGACCTGGAGTCAGGAAAACCTGAGTTCAAATCCAAGATAAAATTAGTTAATATTTGTAAAGTGCTTTGTCAAACTTAAACTGCTATTTAAATGCTACCTATTATTATTATTCCTTCTTGGATGCTTTGTTCATCTTTCCCACCTGGATCACTAGACTGAAAGGAACAGCTGAAGAACTTGATGCCTCCCCGAAGACTACTGGAAGGATAGCTCATGAGGACTTATCCTAGGCCCAAATCACATAAACTAACCATTCCCTGGGGTATTAAACAGAAGGAGCCAGAAATGTCCAATGAATCCACATGATTTTATTGAGTATTGCTCTATGCTGGGGTGAGAGAAGAAAGAAGGATGAGGAGTAAACTAAAGTCTTGCCCTCAGGGAAGTCAATCAGTCAACAAGCATTTATCAAACACTTACTATGTGCCAAACTAGGTCCTTCCATTCTGCTAACCCCTGGTGGAGATACAAAGAAGAGCAAAAAACAGTCCCTGCCCCTCAAGGAGCTGACATTCTAATGGAGGAGACAACGTGTAAACAATTAGGCATATACAAGATCTTTACAGAGTAGATGAGTAGTCATCCCAAAGGCGAGGCATTAACAACTTAAGGAACTGATAAAGGCCAAGGCAGAAAAAAGGAAGCAGAGCAGTCCAGCTATGGTGGACAGAACAAAGGCACAAAGATGGGAGAGGGAGCATCATGTTTGAGGAACTGCAAGTCCTTGTGGAGTCAGTCAGTCACAAGGGAAATGAAGTATAAGGAGACTGGAAAGGTGGGAAGGCAGAAGATTTAGAGCTAGGATGAAAGAGCAGAGAACAGAGAATGTCAGAGCTGGGAGGGACCTTAGAACAGAGAATGTCAGAGCTGGAATGGATTTAAGAACAGAGAACATAGAAAATGTCAGAGCTGTAAGGGATCATAGAACAGAGAACATCAGAGTTTAAACAACTTTAGAAATCATCAGCTACAACTCCTTTATTTTACAGATACTAAGGCCCAGAAAAGGAAAAAGATTTGCTCGGGATCACACAGCTAGTAAATATCAGAGCCAAGATTAGAACCAACATCCTCTGACTCTGTATCTGTATCTGCCCTTTCCACTATATGGAACTGCAAGTAGAAAAAGGGGCCCCCCCTGCCCAGCATTGGCTTACCCCCTCTGGTGACTTTTGTCTCTGAGGGGTAAGACAGGCTGAAACAGATAACTAGGTCAAGGAGATGAGTGATGAATTCTCCTTCTACAGAAAATAATGACTCTACAGGGGAGGGGAGGGAGGAGCATTGTCCTTGGAAATAACATGCATTTGCAGGAAGAGCAACAAAATGATTATAAAATGCCCTCATTTCCCCAAAGTTCTAAGCCCTGAGGCAGGGTTGACTGGCTACAGGCTGCATAGTATGATGTGGGGCCCAACTTATCCAAAATGTCTTCTCCCTAGCCACTAACTGCAATTTCTCCATTGACACTTAGAACCACAGGATTTAGAGCAAGAAGACCTTAGAGGTCATCCAGTCCAACAGCCTCATTTTGTAGACAAGAAAACTGAAGGCAAAGAGATTTTAAGGGACATGCTAAAGGACACATATCTAGAAAGTACCAAAGCTGGGATTCCAACCTAAAAGGAGGATGTGTTGTGAGTGATCATAAATATTAGAGGTGGAAGGGACCTTAGAACAGAGAACATCAGAACTGGAAAGAATATTAGAACACAGAAAACCAGAGCTGGGAGGGACTTTAGAGACCATCTAGTCAAAACTCCTCCTTTTAGGGATGGAAAAATGGAGGCCAGGGAGTTGAGTTGACTCGGCTGAAGTCACAAGCTAGT